AGCAACCTGGGTTCAATTCCACCCTTGGGTGACTGTTTATGTGGAGTTTGCACATTCTCCCCGTGTCTGTGTGGGTTTCCTCCCACAGTCCAAAGATGTGCAGGTTAGGTGGACCGGCCATGCTAAATTGCCCGTAGTGTTCAGGGATGTGTAGATTAGGTGGGTTACAGGGGAATGGGTCTGGGTAGGATTCTATGAGGTTTGGTGTGGACTTGTTGGGCCAAAGGGCCTGTGTCCACGCTGTAGGGAATCGATTCTATTCTATTCTATAACATATTGCTTTTCTATTCTTTTTGCCAAAGTGGTCATCGTCATATTTTCCTAGATTATACATCATCTGCCATGTTTTTAACCACTCACTTAATCAAAGTCCCTTTATAATATTTTTACATGGCTGTCCTCCTCACAACTTATTTTCTTAGCTATCTTTTGTTATCAGCAAATTTAGTGACTTTACATCCAGTTCCATCCTTAAGTCATCAATATTGATTGCAAATAGTGGAGCCCTCAGCACGAAGCACTGTCACTCCACTGGTTACATTTTGCGAAAGCAGATATGTCCCATTTATCTCTAATCCTTGCCTATAGCTATCAATCCTTCATCCATGATCATGCTACCCCAACACCTTGAGGTCTTACTTACAGTTACTGTATAGTAATCATTGATATGCCACCTTATCACTACTTTATCATGCAGAGAATCCTACAGTACAGAAGAGGTCCTTCAGCTCATCGAGTCTGCACTAGTGTCATTTTCCACCACTTAGCCCACAGCTTTGAATGTTATGAAAGTTCAAGTGCCCTTCCAAGAACTTTTCTTCATATAAGGTTGTAAGGTATCCTGCCTCAAATACCCTTCCAGACAGTGTATCCCAGATTCCCACCACCATCTGAATGAAGAAGTTTTCCTCAAATTTCTTCCATACCTTCTGCTTCTCACTTTAATTATGTCTTCTTGTTATTGACCCTTCAATAAAGGGGTACAGTTGTTTCTGATCCACACCATGATCAAGTCCCCCTCAGCCTTCTTTGCTCAACAAAAAAAAAACTGAACTTATCCAGCTTTCCTGCAGAGCTGAAGTGTTCCAGCCCAGGCAATATCTTGGTGAATCTCCTCTACAACCCCTCCAGTGCAGTGATGTCTCCCAAATCCTTCCTATAGTGTGATGACCAGAACTGCACAGTAATCCACCTGTGGCCTAACCAAATTCCTGTACAGCTCTAACAAGATCGCCCCGCTCTTATACCTTTGCCATAACTGATAAAGGCAAATGTCCCATATGTCTTCTTAATGACCCTATTAATCTGGCCTGCCATCCTCAGGCATCAAATGGACAAGCACCTCAAGATCCCTGTTCTTGAGTTTCCCAGTATCTTTCCATTCATTGATTATTCCTCTGTCTTGTGCCTTCTTCCAAAGTGCATCACCTCACAGTTATCAATGTTAAATTCCATCTGCTCCCCATCTGCTCATCTGATCAATCCATCTATATTCTACTGTAACCCAAGACTTCCTCCTCGCTGTCATCCACCAGCCAATCTTTGTCTCATCTGCAAGATTACTTATCACCACTGCACCCAATCCTCACATTTTCTTCTATATCGTTTATATGTATCACAAACAATAAGGGTGCCAGCACTGATCCCTGTGGTACACCACTGAACATTGTTCTCCAATCATACAAACAGCATCTACCATCACATTCTGTCTCCTACCACGAAGCCAATTTTGGGTCCAACTTGCCATGTTACCCGGATCCCATCTTTATCAGACTCCCATGTGGGACCTTGAGAAAGGATTTGCTGAAATTCATTTAAACTACATCATTTGCACTAAGCTCATCGATGCACCTGATCACCACCTCAAAAAGTTCAATCACATTTGTTAGGCATAACCTCCCTCTGACAAAACGATGCTATCCCTGATCAAATCTTGCCTCTATAAATGGTAATCAATTCTTTTCTTCCACATTTTCTCCAACAGTTTGCCTGGTATCCTTTTATAAATGCAATTACACCATATCTACAGGGTCCCCTTTATTGCCATTACTTGCTACTTGCTCAAAGAACTCTAATAAATTAATGAAGTATGACTTTTCCTTTCACAAAACCATGATGAATCTGTCTGTGTTAAGATCTTTTAAGCTAAAACCTTGTTAATAATACATTCTAGCATTTTTCCCACAGCAAATGTAAGGCTAACTGGCCTGTAATTTGTCCACTTCCTGTATCATTCCTTTCTTGAATACAAGAGTTAAATTCGCTGTTTACCAATCTGACAGGATCTTTCCAGAATCAAAGGAATGTTGCAAATTACAATCAATGCACCTTCCATTTCTGCAGTAGTTTTTAGGACTATAGTATGGGTTCCTTCAGATCCAAGTAACTTGTTAACCTTTAGGGATTATTTTCCTCAGCATCCTAACCCTGGTGATTGTAACTGTTTTATGGTCCTCCCTCCATTTCACCTCTTGATTTGGAAGTATATCTGGAATATTATTTGTCTTCCACAATGGAAACAGACAGACAATCTCTGTTAAGCTCTTCTGCCGTTTCCTTTTAATGGGTACTTCAAAAACAATATTGCATTATTTACTGAATTGCAAACCTTTATCAAGTGAAATGGAATATCTGAATGTAAAGATGGCTACCTGTAATAACTAGAAAGGACCATTGTTTAATACAAACCAAAAGAACTGCGGATGCTGTAAATCAGGAACAAAAACAAAGTTGCTAGAAAAGCTCAGCAGGTCTGGCAGCATCTGTGAAGGAGAAAACAGTGTTAACGTATCGGGTCCGGTGACCCTTCCTCGGAACCAAGGACCGTTGTTTACTGTCGAACAGCAAAACAGAACCACTACTTGTGATGTACATAGGTTAGTCCCGGGCCAGGACAGACAGTTCTAGGTCTGATTTATATATTTGTTTTTCTAATCAATCTGTTCAGAGATGCTATTACACACCACTGGGTTGGGCAGGACATGAACCTGGGCCTCCTGGCTCAAAGCTAGGGACACTATCACTGCACCAGAAGAGTCCCTGGGCCTGCTTTTGTTAAATTCAACCCATTCAGAGATCATATGACACACCTTCAAGGGAAGGCGATGGCCTCGTGGTATTATCGCTGGACTGTTAATCCAGAGACCCAGATAACGTTTTGGGGACTGGGTTTGAATCCCGCCACGGCAGATGGTGGAATTTGAATTCAACAAATATCTGGAATTAAAAGTCTAATGATGACCGTGAATCCATTGTTGATTGTTGGAAAAACCCATCTGGTTCATTAATGCCCTTTAGGGAAGGAAACTGCCATCCTTACCTGGTCTGGCCTACATGTGACTCGAGACCCACAGCAATGTGGTTGACTCTTAACTGCCCTCTGGGCAATTAGGGATGGGCAATAAATGCTGCCTGGTCAGCAACGCTCTTATACTGTGAACGAATAAAGAAAACAAAACCTTTGTAGCAGATGGGATGTGAACATGGGCCTCCTGGTTCAGGGGTAGGCACACTGTTACTGTGCCACAGGCACCTTTTGGATCTGCTAGTTTTTTAAAAAAACAAAACCTGTTCAGACATGTCATGGCACACCTCTGGAGCAGGTAATATCAGCAGAAAAGTCCCCGAGCCAGAGTGAATCTGTGCGAATGACAGCACCGTGTGGTCCGTGTGTAATTAGGTCACACTGGCACAGCATGCAGAGGCAGCGCTGAAGCCAAAGTTCTGCACATCTGGTTAAGTGAGGCACTGAGAATCTAGGAGCAGAGGCATGGGCTGGTGGCAGGTACAAAGGTCATGAAAGTAGTGCTGGCTGTTCAGCTCCTCATGGTGGGCTTGGGAAAGGCAGCAGCTATGGGCTGTATTTCGACTGTTGAGTCAGAGTGGTAAGGGCACTCACATCACCGAGCACTTCACCTCGAACTTCACTCAAGGGTTTACTCGTTAGGCTATCCTTTCTGTTGGAGTGATGTGGCACAGCCAAACAGATAATCTACGTGCCTAGCGTCTACGAAACACAGATTAAGTAAAACTCGACATCATTACTAAAACTGGACAATAACATTCATCATTATCAAATCAATTTTGAACACAGAAGGAAACTATGGTAATTGAAAGCAGAGTTACTAAAGGCCCGTATTCCAGCAGTTCGTGGAATAGATGTTCAACATTTTGGCGAGACCTGGGAACTCACTATTGTCTACATATCTGACAATGACAAATTTCAAGGTGAAACAACATTGAAACAAACCATTATAAACATTTCAGCAATTATTTTTGACAATTACAAGAACCTGACTGTTAAAATGGTTGCTCTCTGAGCAGTTGCAAAGTTGCAACTAATACTTTTACCCCCACATCAACTTGTGGTAAAGGAAATATTTGTAAGACACCGCTTGTTAAAAGAAATAAAATGCATAATTCAGGAATGGAAAGCACAGTTGTATACTTAAAAGCAGCTCTGATCTTAAACTGTCACAGCTCTGACATGGACATTACACCTGCAGGAATTGCTCCCCATTGTGTCGTGGCACTGATGAACAAAACATTATTGGGACACACCGCATTGCAGGTGCAAGTTCATAACACGGAGCATTTGTAGATATTTTTAAATCAGCCTTTTCAGATGTATTATGACACACCTCTGGAACTTGAACCTGGACCTTCTGGTTCAATGGTGAGGACACTATAACTGTGCCGCTTGAGCCCCGCCATGGAGCATTTGTATGCTGAGATGCTTGCACATTTAACATCAAAATGGGTAATACTTCTAAAACACATCAGCGCTGCAGCCTGAACCAGCTGTGATCATTTCATAACCTTCATTGTTTTTGGTGTTTGGTAAGAATTTCATTCAGCGAAGAGCTTGATGCTCAATTTCAAAAGCGGTCAGTCAGTTCTGTCACACTTTGACTGCTGTATTTAACTACGTTTCAAGTGAGGAATCTCTTTCTCCCTGCCAGCCCCTTTATGTTGAGTGATTAAAAAAAACTTCTACTCACCCATCCTTGGAAAGCATGTGACGGAAGAAATCATTTGCAGCAAGCTTTATGGCCTTTTCAGGTGTAACTAAGGTAAGATTCACAGCAGCGCCTAGAGTGATGTAGATGGAAGAGAAGAAAAGAAAAATATTCCAGTTATTAAAAACACTATGTTCTTTCTAAAGTTCCAACTTACGATCAAAATATGACAGAAATATGGAGCGTAAGGGTGCAAACTGAAACTGTATACAGTTTTTTAAACTTCTGCAACTCCACAGTGACAACTTTTAAACATTGCATGAAAGCAGTAATTGAAGGCAGCAGACTGCAGAAGCCAGAAATAGAACAAGGCAATGTACAGTTAGTAAGGGAAAGCTTTGGAAGGGAATGTAGTTCGTAAATGAGCTGTTCAGTGTTAAAACATTTTATGGAGGGACATGCATTCTGACTCATTACTTCCTAAATGACACTGTATACTTTCAGCTTCTTTCTGTTCAAAGAATGATTCCACGCTAGCAGGATATTAGCCAGCAAACACATTTAAGTGGCAGCACCCAATCTGGTACATGAACACAGAATTAAAGCAATTTTAGACTGCAAGTATGAAATATGTACATTTAATTGTTAATACTTCTAAGCGTTTTAGATAAATAAACAAATATGTTAAAAAAAAGGTTAAATGATAGTTTAGCTCCAAACTGCACAAAGCATTTGATTGTCAGGACTGTCATCATTCCAAATTTTCATGCTTGCCTCATTTTCAACTCTTAGTTAGATACAGACCTAGAAACGAAAATGATAGAAGGAGGGAGAACAATATTGTGCTTCAATTTTCCTCCTTTCACCAATTGACAAACTTTGCCAAGTACAGCAATGAACATGAGGGAAAGCTGCAAGGATGGGACTTCAGTATTGTTTATATAAACAAGGCAAATTATTTCAACTGCCCTATGGTTTAAAATAAACTGGTTAAGAATATACGTATATTTCTGTATAGCCTTTTTCAACTTTTTGTTTAATCCTAGCAGAATTAGGTACAACACTTAAAATTACTGAAGTTACTGTCACTCTGTTTGTTGGAGCTGCTGAACTTCATTACGAGACTCTTAACAGTTTCACAGCACAGCACAGCTCGAACTGGGCTGGTCCTGATATCGGACTATAACACCGACTTTATAAGTTATGTAAAATAGATAGAAGAAACTAGGGCTACTCTCAATTGGAAAGAGATGGTTTGGAGAACCAGTCAGTTTAACTTCAGTGGTGGAAAAGCTTCTAGAGATAATTATTCAGGATAGAATTAGGAGTTATATGAGAAAGGTGGGTTGATCAGGAAGAGTCAGTATGAATTTCTAAAGGGGAAATTACGCTTAACTAACTTGCTGGAGCTTTTTTGACGTCATAACAGAAAGGCTCAACGAGGGTAGTGCTACTGATGTGATGTATATGGACTTTCAGAAGGCATTCGACGCATTGCATTACAACAGGCTTATGAAGCAAGGTATAGGTCAGGGAATAAAAGGGTCAGTAACAACATGCACACAAAATTAGCTAAATGATAGGAAAGAAAGTAACGGTCAATGGATATATTTTGGGCTGGAAGGTCATTTGCAGTGGAGTTCCTCAAGGGGTCAGTATTGGGACACTTGCTTTTCCTGATATATACTAACGATCTGAATTTTGATGTACGGGGATAAATTAATAGTTTGCGGATGACACAAAATTTGGAAGAATCAAACTGTGAAGAGGACAGCGTGGAACTCCAAATAGACATTAACAGACAGCTGGTAGATGAGTGTCAATGCAGAGAAATGCAAGGTCATGCATTTTGGTAGGAAGAACATTCAAAGGCAATTTAAAATAGGGGATGCAGTAGAGGTGTTTATGTGCACAGATCATTGAAACTGGCAGAGCACGTAGGGAAAGCAATAAATAAAATATAGCATCACTGGTATTACAGTAGGGGCATAGAGTATAACAGCAAGGCAGTGATGTGGAATTTGTACAAGACCCCATTTAAATGTCAGATGGAATATTACGTACAGTATTATGTACACATTATACGAAGGATGTGAAACACTAGGGAGAGTGTAGAAGCAGTTTACAAGAATGGTTCCAGAGATGAGAAACTTTAGTTCTGAAGATAGATTGAAGAATTTGTAGTGTTCATCTTACAGAGAGAAAGGCTAAGAGGAGATGTTTTCAAAATTAGAAGCATCTAGATAGGGAGAAACTGTTCCTGCTCATAGAAAGAAAAAGAACACAAGGGTTTGGATTTAAATAGCAAGTGTGAAGTGAGGAAAACCTTTTCACTCAGCGAGTAGTTACAGTATGGAATGCAATATCTGGAAGCATTATGAAGGCAGGTGCAATTGAGGTGTTAAGCAGAGTTCTGGATGATTGTTTGGATAAAAATAATTTTCAAAGCTATGGGGAAAAGGCACAATGGGCTGGGAGGCCTCCTTTTGAGCCATAACACTTTGGTAATTCTGTAATTTGATAAAAGCATTCAAAATAATGAGAAGTCTGGACAGATTAGAAATGGAGAAACTGCTTCTATTGGCAGAAAGGTTGAGAATCAGAGGACATTAATTTATACTGATTGCCAAAAGAAACAGAAGCATTATATGGAAAAGCATTCTTTAAAAAAAAAATCACAATGAGCAGTTAGGATCTGGAAATAGCATGCTCATGACTGTGATGGAGTCATATTCAATAATAGCTTTTGGTGACCCATTAACTGCCCTATTCCCACCTGTGGCCTCCATAATCTAGAATGGGATTGATGTTCTACAAAGATCACATGATAATGGAAAGGCTGGATGCATCAGAGAGTCTTTTCCGGTCCAATTTCTTGGGAAAAACAGGACAGGAGGGAAAAGGGACTTAGCGAGTCAAAGAAACTTATTGAAAACCTACATCTGCTACTCCCTGGTTCAATGTACTGCTGCATCAAGACACGATATTCAGAGGGGTTCCAGACCAGAATGTCTGTCAACTGCACAGGCGTCAAATTAGAAAGTTCCTGGAAGGCAACATTCTGGAAATGCATTTCAAAAACAACAGGGACAAAGCAATCTCTGTTGCACAGCAAGCTGCTGTGACTCATTTTGAAGAATCCCAAAACAACTTTAATCCTCTTCCAAATTAAGCGCATTAGAATTTTAATCTTAAAAAAAAACTCAGGTTATACAGCAAAAATGTACTGGTCTTAAATCAGAGTCACTGTTAAGGGCAACAGACGTATTAGCGGAACAAAAAATGCAGAGAACATCAATTCAAATCCCATTCTTACAGAAAAATAATTTAAATTTACTTTGAAAGAAATCAGCAGATAGGTATCTAGAATGAGTAAAACTGAGCTTAAGGCTATCAGGTTGTTGTAAAAATCCAAGTAGTTCAGTAACCTCCTTTAGGGAAGGAAGCTTGCTGTCCCACAACAATGTGGTTAACATGCAACTTTCCACAGCAGCAGCATCACATAATACTCAATGAGATCAACCAGGGTAGCGATGTCTAGGATAAAAGGAAAGCATTTTTGAAGTGAATATCTCATTGGGAACTTTTTAAAATCACAGACTCTTAGGGGGTAGTGTGGTCACAGAAGCCAATTGAGCTTCGAAGTCCTATGGCATGGCGTGGCTTGTCAACATCATGCGATTAGGGGTCAGGAAATTCTTCACAGCAGAGAAGATACAACAGGATGAACAGTCAGTTACAAACATGTGTTTGTAGCTGGACATGGAACAATATGGTAGACAATATGGAATTTGGAGAGCCAGTGTCTCTCACATACTGTTAGACAAGAATGCATTCTATGGTGGAGAGGGTGGAATTTTTTACAGTTGAATTCAACACTCTAACTGGAATTAACTGGTGTGAAATGTGATCAGCTCCTTTTCCACTCTCTATTCTCTAATGCATAATGTTATAGTAATTGGATTGGGGAATTCTCCTTTGCTCACAACAGGTAACAAAAATACTGTGAACAATTTCTTGGTTTATTGATTCTTAGTCTCTCTTAGATTAGTGCACGTCAAAAGGAATATAAAGCACAATCATCACCGCGTGCCTCAGCTATTTCCCCTCTGTTCTTTCAATGGTAGGGTATATGAGGAACAAGGAAATAGGAAATCACACAGAATGGAAGCTAAGGACGGGAAAAGACCACCCTCATCATCAGTCAGTCAATAATTGGTAGAACAACCAAATCAAGCAAATGATGGAAATTGGGTTATTTCCTGCCACGATGTTGTTGAGTTTTAGCAAGATCCACTAGTCGCTCACTGATGGATGACTATTTCAATACTGTTAACAATAGCAAGAACAAAATGCTGTTCGGAAGTTACTATCCAACCATGAATTACAAATGATGGATTCCAAGACTATTCATCCATGCTTCCTTTTCTCAGTTTGCAGCTTAAAAAGTAAACTGTCCAGCTAACTTCGAAGTCTTGCAATGAGGCTTTACTGATGTGGAAATACAGGACCCAATTTCCATCTCAAAATGTCACCAAATTCATTAACTCATTCGAGAAAACTCTGTTTGCCTTCCAGACAGGAAGATAAATTAGAAGTGATGTGATGATGAGGCATTGCTGGAGGTCCTTCAGCAGTTAGTGCAACAAATACGGGGATTGTGAAGGTTTGGAAACTAGTTTTCAGACCGGTCACAGGAGAGATTGGAGAGAAAACAACAAAAAGGGGTTTGCACTCTCACATTAACAAAAAATGTTCATATGATGTGCCATAATCAGTTCCATTACATTACATGTCATATTTGAACATTTTTAAACAACTTCCCTTTTTCATGACATTGACACTTCAATTTTTAACCAGTCCTTTTGGATTGACAAAAAGCAATTCCCAATTTAACTAGACAAATACAAAATTTTCAAAAAAAGCTCTTGAAAAACTTTGAATCATTTAACCTACTGGGGACTGGTGTTTTTGTGCTTCAGCAATTCAGGGATGCCAGATGGCCTGAACCACTTGAAGTGTAATTTCCAAGTCATGTTCCAAGCCATCTCCAACAAAGACATATATCACTGCTCCTATAAATTAACTAATATTATGGGTTCAAATCCCGCCATTGATAGTGGAATTTGAATT